TCCAACTCCTTATTTATTATAGCACTAACAGCATCACACATCAAAATAACAGGATTGAACATCCAACATTTGATTCGAAGTCGATCATTCGCCAAATAGTGCGTACCATTTAATGTTTAAAAAATCTGAATAGAGGCTCATATGAACACTGTCGTATGTGCTTTCAAAAAAACATCACATGCACACATGCATGTAATGCTCCAAGACATTTGTAGCTAATAGTATAGCCATCTTAGGAAGATTTTGAGGCAATATCCTAAACGACACTGGTATACTTCTTGGCATAAAGATAATTGGTTTTGACATAATGCCGTGACGTTGATCGTGAGTTAAAAGGTAAGAGTGCGACATCAGTTATCGCGCCCACCTCCAAGACCTCGTTTAATCTCATTACAGTCCTAACATGGTAACACCGTTGTATCGAAGCAAATACACCTCATGAGAGTGGCATTGTCGAAAACATTCGCATTCTCGGATTCACGACTGACCTATAATTTATGATTTTTTTTAAATGAAGTTGTATAAATAAGTAGGTGAATGGTGCGGAATTAAAAAAAAAACGTTTCGTCGAAGTAAGATATGGCCCCATTTGTGTTGAATAAAAGAAAAACACCACCTCGCTGAACGTGGAAAAGACCACGCCGCCCACTCCCATTCGGTAAATAGATACGAGACAATACTTTGCTAGAGATGACGGTTCAAATCTCCTAATTGCCTTTCAACTTTACACTCAAATATTCAGTTGGAATGTATCATTAGAATATATCTGATTGACCTATATAGTTGGTGAAAGAAAGATGTGTGATAATTTGTAGTTAGTATTCGTATCGTTCATGTAGTGTTCGTGTCAAACCGCGTGCTCATATGGTGAAATATACCACCCATTGGGTGACGCGTCATCACAAAACATTCTATCAATCCTGATCACAATGCACATTTCAGAAGACCCAGGTCGCATAGAAAGCCTGTTATGTTCTGTGAGCATATGAAAGAATCAGGGTGTTTATTTCAACGTCTAACACGTGATTCCGAGTTTCCGAGACGGATATAGCTCACGTGTCATATAAATATGATGTACATTATATACAATGTATTGTGGAATTTTATATAAAATTTCAGACGAAACCAGTAATATAGACATCACTGTTAGACATACCGTTCTTCGCCTCATTTTGAAAAGACTTACAACAGCATACAGTATGTAAATTGTATTGTCATATTTACATTATACATTTATATTTATAGAATGAGCCAAAAATGTCGTGAAAGGACATGTGACCTAAATAATAAACAATGTTGTTTTGTAGATAACCGCAGATTAGATGTCACAAATTAAAATCCGGTGTTTGGATGCACAGTCTTATTATATCATGCCTTTATGAATATGAAGTGAAAACTGCACGGTGACTATGAGAATATAACTTGCACGTCTTTCGTCTAATTGGCCATGCAGTGTTAAAGCGGTCTATCTCTAATTAAAGTTGCCAAAACCACTGACTTCGAAACAAAAGTAAATTGTTGTTGTGAATTGTAATACTTCATCTGACCAAGGATGTGTTTCATTGTCTTGGCTTCAAGTTTGCACAGTACATTAATATTTTGTATTCTAATTTCGTTTAAAAATGGAAGAAATGTTCGTGAAATATAACATACGTTTTTGTTTGCGGATACACCGATAAAGCAAAATCACATTGTAATTGCGACATTCTAGTATCCGTGTGTATCCGTTTCTAGAGAACAACATCCAAAGAAAATATTAAACTGTGAAAAAGTTCAGTAAACGCGCAGGTGACGCAGACGCCCGCCCAGTAACGTAGCAACCAGATAACCCCAACTCGTCTATGCCGGATTACATCAGACTTTCAGTGTCAGTGGACATATGTACATATGTAGAAAGTTCCCACAAGGGCATAGCATTATGTTAATAAGTGTGTATAATTAGCATAATCATTTCTAGTATTACAGTAACTGCCAATTATAGAAACATGTATTTGTAGTCTTCAAAAACACCCGGGTTGGTAATAAAGTCTGTTTTCTTGACGACGATTATTTTATCTGAAGGTGTAAATACGAATACTCAGACATTATCTAGTTCGATTACCTTACCGTAAGCCCCGTTTTATGAGATACGAGATGCACATTGTCAGGTAGCATTAGATTAGATATATGTGATAGAAACCCTCCTTAGAAACCACCACGCTAAAAGAAACTGGATTGTTATGATTTGATGGTGTTAGCGTGAACATATTTGTAATGTCACAATTGAAAACCGGTGGCTCTCGTAACAAATGCGTGAATTAATTTCCGGAAATTGGGAGACGTGATAACGCAAATGACGCTCGTCAATTAAAGTTACATGCCAGTAAATCAACTGATTTTAAACGGAGCATTGTCATTCTACTGCCATTCGAATAACAACGTCCCTCCCTTCCTTCATTCGAGTGATCAATAACCGTTAATTTTTGCAGCCAACTCCCTGGACTGTGATTTCCTACTTCCCATACCACATCAAATTGAGCTGAATTTATTTACATGAGAGTCAATCGTGACACGGGATGGTACGGATATCCTGGGGCATCGCTTCTCATCATAATTAATCGAGAAAATTAATAAATTTAATGAACTTTGAAAGACATTATTGAGAATAATGGTCAAGTTGTCACCGTGCAGTTAAGAGGTCTGATACTTCCGCTGTTTTGGTCAACCATTGCGTTTTATTTGACTTGAACATCCAATATTTGATTCAAAGTCGATCATTCGCCCAATAGGGCGTACCATTTAATGTTTAAATAATCTGAATGGAGGCTCCTATGAACACTGTCGTATGTGCTGTGGTTTACGTATCGTATTTGTTGGTTGAAAAATCAATAACATTAAATATGCATGTGAAGCGATTGTTCGTACTGTACGTATCAAAGACAATGTTGCATTGTTTCATCGAACGCTTATTTAGTAACGTACGAGAGTAACGTCTTAGTTGATAACTCATAAAACAAGGTGTTCATCATCATACAGTATTAAACAACAATATTGAAATGTGCGCCTGTTATCGCTCATCGTACTCCACTTTTTTAATTAAACTAAAAAAAATAAAAACCACTACCGTTTACAAATATTATTATGAAAATTAATTATTGGATTAAATCCTAACCTATCAATTTATTATGTGTTGATAGATTGTCATTATATACCGTTACATACCGAATAAAGTGTACAAAGACAGTTGAGTCGAAGCATATATACAAGCTGCATTCTGATTGGTCTGTCTCACCGATACTTGTATCTGCTGTCTGCTCCCTA